AACGAATTTACACCAAATTTAGAATTACCCTAGTTTTAAATTGTACGTAAAATAAGTGCTAAAAGAAAGCAAACGAAAAAAAAATTACAAAGAAGGAATATAGAAATGTAACGAGTGAAATGACTCAGCAATTTGCCGTGTGGCCCGCAAATTCCATCGTTTTTGGAGGTGAGAAACAGTTTTCTCCGTCTTGGCCACGACTACCCTGTTATGGTGTAAAGAAAGAGCTGTTATTCTAAAAACGCTGTTTTACACTGCTACTGTTTCTTTTGTTTGTTAAGGACGTTACTTGTTTTACCGCACACTATAACTCTTCAGTATGTAGTTATTATTATATCTCCTGTCATTTTTTGTAGTAACAGCAGACTACAAAGCCCTCAGTATGCTAATGAAGAAAAAATCTTGCTGCGAAGATGAACATTGGAAACTGGGAGGAAAAGGCCTGGATACAGAGTTTTGCATATACTGCCTTGCAATTAGGGTAAAGTAGATGCAACAATAAAATCTCTTGCTGTTAATAAAATAGATAATTGCTAAAATTAAGCGGTCAGAAGTGAGTTTTTTTCGGCACTTCGAAAGTACAATTTAGTTTCCTTACATCCAATGTATACGGGTGCTCTCCCTTTCTTCTAAACGATTCCTATCTTCTGTGTATGCAGGGTTGTGGATGMAAACTTATAGACGATGATGGGGCTTGTGTTACTTGTATTAAGGAGTGTTTTGAGAGAAGCAAGGYAAATATTGGCAGGTACTGACCGTTGCTGTGCCGCAACGATATGCTCAATGCTACCAAGAATGTCAATTACGTTAGTTATATATATATATTTTCTTACAGCTGGACTGGTCTTCGAGACGATCTTGATTTTATTTTAGAGGAGGAGTTGAGCGATGTCATGTTGTGTGCATTGCATTGCGAAATGCGTAATACCGAGCAGTTATTGGGATCCCTTGGTCTGTTTGCTCACCAATCTGGTTGTCTAGACGAATTAAACGAAATTTTATCTCATTTTGGTCCAGAAAGTTTTAAAAAGAAACGACTAAATGTTAAGCTAAATCATGGTCAGGAAACTGCTGTTGGAAAAAACAATATCAAAGTTGCAACATTTTCAGGTAATAACAATAACAATAATCACAGTAATAATTTGTCATATGAATTATGTTTTACTGTAGTTTGATTCGATTGAATGTTCTTTTTTTAGGCCCGACAGAAAGAGAGATTTTGAACAATGTTGAACGCATAATCAGCGAAGGTCTGCCTCTAGAAAAATTGACATCCCATTACAAGTTCACAGAAAATGGCTCAAAACAAGTACTTCTGGATAGGTTTTCCTTTTGTGAATACATGACCAATGAGGTAGGAATGATCACATATTATATATATTATAGTGTCTAGATAACATCTTTTTGTTCGACTATTTTACTAATTATGCTTTGCAAGCGAGATATAACAGTTTTTCAAAACAGGTGTTATTTCAACATTAATTGTTGTGGAGTCAGTCGTCAAACAATATTCATACTCCTACGATTTGCGAAATTCCAGACCGATAAGATTCGCAACAACAAGTTTTACACCAGGGATTATGGGACACATCAAGAGAAAGTGGAACTTGATAACCTACCTAGTAAGTTCAAATCCGCCATTTTCAGTATAACTTAGACTCGGACATAAACTCAATATGTCTATGTTTTTTTTTAGAGTTTAAAGAATACTTGAACCAGCAGTACGACTACTGGGTTAAAAAACAGAAAGATATAGAATCGTCCTATTTGAAGTTTTTTCCGAAAAAGAATAAAAAGGAAACTGTAAAAAGTAGAAAGAATCGTTTAGATGAGGCGGCGACATATGCAGGTGAATTACAGAAGGATTTTCACACTATGGTAAGAAATGGTTCATACATTTATAGGAATAAATGGATATTCGATATGGTATTTTTTGTCTCTAATACAAATAGGTTTTCGTAAAATGGCGGGAAATAGCTCTTGTTATGAGAACCGCGAAGTTTGAAGAGGATGATGACCAAGATATAGATATCTACGATTTTAAGGTACGTAATGATAATATCAAGTATTTAGCTTTTTTCGAAAACGTATTATCGTGTGAGAGTTGTGAAATCAAAACTCGCCGCCTACTTCTTGAATACACAGGCAAAAGAATGGGGCTATCTTTTGAGGGAACTTTTCGGAGATAGACTTGGCACAGGAGACTATGGACACCTTACCATTGAGCACACCGCCATGCTCTTCCGAAGGTTTAGGTCGTTCACGCTGTACTCCAACCAGGGATTCGAGGCTCTTCACCGAATGCAAAGACAGTGTTACACACGTGCGACAAATCATGACGGAAAAGAGTTTGGAAAGTCAAGTATGACGCTAATTACTTCATTAATAATAATGGTCTTTGTTAGTTTGTTTTGCCTAGTCCATGTGTCACTCAATTATAAGCGTGCATTTATAAAAATGCTATTCTTGGGTTAATGACGTTAAAATCAAAATTTCGCTTCCTTACTATGTATAGGGATTTGTTTTAATAGAGTGCTTTCTCTACTGCGGAAAATGTAAGCATTCGTAATAATAGACACAGTGAAAATTTCATTTCTAATCTCATTATATCTCTTTTAGGTTAAAATCTGTTTGTAATAATGCATTTGCAATCCAACTGCTTTTAAGGTGACACGCCCGAAAGCAGAGTAGTAGAAGTTACAGGTGACCCGCCCGTGAATCTGCTCTTGGGTAACCCGTATATAATTACTAACTATATATCAAATGTATAATTCCAACTGCTTTTAAGGTGACACGCCCGAAAGCAGAGTAGTAGAAGTTACAGGTGACACGCCCGTGAATCTGCTCTTGGGTAACCCATATATAACTGACTATATTTAATGTTTAATTCCAACTGCTTTTAAGGTGACACGCCCGAAAGCAGAGTAGCAGAAGTTACAGGTGACCCGCCCGTGAATCTGCTCTTGGGTAACCCATATATAACTGACTATATTTAATGTTTAATTCCAACTGCTTTTAAGGTGACACGCCCGAAAGCAGAGTAGTAGAAGTTACAGGTGACMCGCCCGTGAATCTGCTCTTGGGTAACCCGTATATAATTACTAACTATATATCAAATGTATAATTCCAACTGCTTTTAAGGTGACACGCCCGAAAGCAGAGTAGCAGAAGTTACAGGTGACCCGCCCGTGAATCTGCACTCGGATCTAACTTTGTATATAAGTTACTTGTCTGTTTGGTGGTAGTTGCTTTTTGCTGTTGTTGTGTTATTTTTTTTGGGGTTGTTTTTTTTTTTTCTTTGCTTGTTTTTTTTTTTCACTTCGAATTGTTTTTTGCTTCTTGTTAGTCGAGGACCTCCTTGTTCTACATTATGCAGAAAAACTGCTGTTTTTTAGGCTGTGTCTACACAATGCCATAAAATGCTTTTATGATGGTGAGTATAAACAATGTAAGTTTGTTAGGTGCACTAAGGAAGCAGTATATCTTTTTATTTTCATAATTCGATTAGTTCGGCTTTCGATTAAAGATTTATATTTTCTTTTTAAAGGCAAACCATTTTTCTTTCGAGGATGCGGATGGAAACGCTCTGAAGCTCCAAAGCATGCACTTGAGGATGTAAAATGGGCACTTGTAATGAGTCATTTGATGAGTGATATGTTTGGGGAAGATTACCTTGATTACTACTACGACAAACAACACGGATTAGAAGTACAAGAAAGCTCCATTCCCACCTTCGWGTACGAACACGAGTCATGGGAGGAAAGATTCACCAAGCAATTTRAAAGTACAAGTGTCGAAGATGTGTCGAAAAAGTCCTCTAAAAGAGCTCGACGCCTTTTTGAGACCTTAAACGCGACAGATACCAATTCAAATTTCTCTTCACAGCCCTCCAAGTTGGATAGTACTATGCCAGTTCCACTACATACAAGTACTCCCTCTAAGCCTAAAACTTCCAGTGACAAGAATAATCTCTACCAAGAACCTACAGAATCGACATCTGACGGAGATTCTTCGTCCGATAGTGACGACGATACAAATTCGCCTTCAAAACCACTAAAAGATGATAATTCCACCAGTTCAGCGGAGTTGCATCAACCAGATGATGAATCAAAGAGAACGAAAACCTCTATCGACTGCCCRGTACAAACAGCCCTTACTTCAAATGATCTCAGCATTTGCCATGSAAAAGCCAAAGCATCCAGAAAGGAGCTCGCAAACCTAAAGCTTCCAAAAATTGTCCACGTCAGAGAAAATTGCATTAAAATTTTTTCATGTTTTCAGCCAGCCTTAAGCCCGCTTTCCATTAAGGAACGACCATCGAAAAGTGCACTTTCTCATTGCGACAAGTTGCTGTCCGAGTCTCGTAGTAACGGAGACAAGGCAAAAACAGTCCAATTTGGCTCAGTGGGGACTTTTAATGTTGATGACCTTTGGATTTTGCAGAAATACTGCGCGATTGATGACATGAGAAGAGATGTTATCGCTGAAGCAGCATGGCTAAATCAGGATGATGGTTTTGACATGAAAGAGATTGAAGAATTAAGCCACATTCTTTGGGATAGTGAACCTTCCAAGGTTATTTTGAAGTTGTCTACCGGAATAAATACAAGAGCCATTGACGTAACTTCTCTGTCTTATTTGTGTGAGGAGCGATACATCGACAATATGGTCGTGGATATTTGTATCTACAAGTATATGTTGGAATCAAATACTTCCGCAGGTGTACAGTCTTTAGTATTACCATCAGAGATATGGGCATGGAGAACATGTCGACAGGGATACCTTAAAGAGCAATTTCAGACTGCGATTCAAAGCTGCCAAGTACAAATATCAAACCTCAAGCAAATAATAATACCTGTTTACATGCCATCGCACTGGGGTCTAGTATATGTGGATTTACCAAACGCAAAGGCCTATTTTGACGACGGTATGAAGTTCAACCCTCCTCGTGAAACGATTAGCACTATTAAGTGTCTAATAGAAACCCTGTGCGAACTTTATCCCAAATGTCCAACGTTTACACAAGAAARGTGGAAAGATTTGAGATCTTTGGAAAGGTTTGGCATGCCCCGTCAAGATTCAAATRAAGMCATAAAGAKCAAGCAAGGAAGTGGTAGTTGCGGCATTGGAGTCGTTATGGCAGCTAAAAACSTGTTATACAACGGTAACAAGGCAGTGAGGAATTTTACAYGGTCCTTTGCGCATAGCCGCTACTACAGGAAACAACTCATGCAGAAAATATGTCAATGGTCCCAATAGCTAAACGTATATTTATATATTCACTCAAAATAGCNTTAAGTTTAACTGCAAGTGCCTGTTATAGAAGTAATATTTAAATATTCACCTTCACATTTGGGATGATGCATACTATTAACTCTCTCAGTAACACAGGCCAGCCATGTACAATAGTTTTGACTGTCGACGGCAAGCAACTGTCCCTTAGCCGGCAAAGATACCGGAGTGCGAATTCCATCTTTGAGCTCATAGAATTTGCTCTCTCGCGATATTTCTCTCCCATGTTTTAAAATGCTATGCTTGTCCAAAGCACGTGAAGATGAAAACTTTTTTAAGCAAATAACACACTGCGTTATAAGAGACATTTTGATAGCACTGAACGTGTCTCTGAAGTTAACGCGTGAAATTTAAAACCCTTGTTGAGCTGAAGCTGAAGATTTACCTATCACATAATTAACGGAAGTTGATTTTGCAATAAGCTATGTACAATTGTACAATTTGTATATAGCTTATTGCAAAATCAACTTCCGTTCAACAAGGGTTTTAAATCTCACGCGCAAACTTCAGAGACACGTTCAGGGCTATCTTACAAGTCGCAGTGTATCATTTGTTTCAAAACGTTTTCATCTTCACGTGCTTTTTATCATGGATGGCAAAACTATAGCAGCGCGCAAACGCTACAGTCGATTACATACGGCAGAAGAGAAGAGGCAAGAAAAGAAAAGACGTCGCGAAAGAATAAAGGTTTTAAAAAGGCAGCAGCGAGCGAATCAGGCAGACAACAATGGGCCTGGTCATGAAGTGACGGCGGGAGTAATGCAAGTGGAGCAAGGCATCCAAACAGATTTACCCCCGCCTGAAAATAATTGCTCTGGGTCTTTGGACAGGGGAAAAAGAATGGTGCAATTGTCTAAAACGCCTGTGAAACCAGCCAATCTTCAAAAGGAGCAGCATTTATCGTCAGGAAAAACAACAGTGCCGGTCACTATTCAGCGCAGAGACCTAACACCACAAGAGGAAACCAACATAATTGGAAGTGGCACGTATGGAGTTTGTTATAAAGGTTTCTACCGCGGAAATATACCCGTAGTCATCAAGTCTTTCAGAAAATCGATTCAAAGGCACGAAGTTCAACGCGAATCCGAAGCTCTTCAAGATCTTCAAAGGACTCAGCACCATATCTCTTTGCCACTATTGTTTGGAGTCAATCTTGACAGCCTCYCATTTCTTCTAGTAACGCAGTTACACGGTGCACAAGATAGAACCTATACTTTGGGCAATGCTATCAAGGAGAAACTTTTAAAATTCAAGCAATGGGTKGACTTGGCTATTCAGCTTGCGAGAACTCTAGGCTACATTCAMTCGTGTGGATGGCTCCATAATGACTTAAAAGAGAACAATATAGTCCTACACTATATTTCTCCTGTTTGGAATCCTGTCATCATTGACTTCGGCAAAAGTTGCTTGATAAAGAAAGCAAAAGTCAAGACCAAACAACATGATGCATCACGATATCCTTGGATTGCACCTGAAGTGTTGCAATACACATCCCCGCCATCTCAAGCGAGCGATATTTTTTCTTTTGGAATGATTTTGAAGCTGCTCTTTAAGAAAAAAGACAGAGCCCCTTCATCACTCTTAGAAGCTTGCATTGCAGAAAGTGCTCGGGATCGTCCAAAAAGCGGACATTTTATTGCCGCATCACTTATGACATATAAAAAAACCACTATCGATATATAGTCCTAGTATTGTGTCAACTATCATTTTCTTTAAAACAAATGTCACTAAGAAACTACTTAAGACGCGGAGTATAAAAACTATCAATTTTTATAGTTTTCTAGTTTTATAATTTTTTAGTTTCTTATATAGTTTTTTGTTGTATCAATTATTTAGCGTTCTTATTTTTTCAGCTTGTTTGTTGGTATCAACACTTCCCATCTTGCCGGAAATAATCCTATATAAAAATACATTTTCACGTGCCTGTCCAGATATATTACATACAAATTACTATTAAAATTCATCAGACCTGATAATACAATATAGCGCCGTCCTTGCCGGAAGTTAGTTCGTTAACTATGATCACACTATGAATAAATACAGTGTAATGCTTTAATGGGTTTTTAAAAACACAAATAGAAACACTCATAACTTTGCAAAACCTTTTATATTTTTCACCAAAAAAATGGTGATGTGTACTGTTTATTCTTTCTGTAACGCAAGCTAGCCATTCCAGATAATTCCTGGTCATCAGCTCACACAAGGCCTCCTGTTGGCAAAGGAACGGTTTTTTTTACCGTCGTAAAACCCGCTTTCCTGCGACAATTCTTTACCATGTTTAGCGATCCCATGCTTATCCAAAGCACGCGAAGATGGAAATTTTTTAAAGCAAATATTGCAGTTCGTAAAAAGCGACATTTTACGCAAAGAATAAGAAATAATCTAATAAACCATCCAAGATTACTACCATTGAACGAACAAATAATAAAGTTAGTGATGCAAGCTCTTTGATTAAGCTTCACCTAAAGGTCATAAAGTTTATTTTTAGTCAACATGATGACCGATCAATGTCACCACTAGGTGACTTAATTGACAACTCTCACACATTTTGAGTGGAGCTTAGAGACCCCTGCTTTGAATTTTTTTCCCTTGTTAAGCTCCTCGTGAATTACATCTGGATTTCCAGTAGCAGAATATTACCCTGTCATTCAAGTTTGTGGAACCCTGAAGGAAGTGAATAATAAAATGAGTATGCCTACTGGCAAACTATCCAATTGTATGAATATCTCATTCAGTGACAAAGATCATACTAGCCCTACTAACAGTAATGAAAAGTTACAGAAACGATTAGAGCAAGATGTCCAGGTGTTGTCTGAAGGAGAGGCTAGTGGTCTTATGTCACTGATAGATAAGTACAGGGATGTTTTTGCAAGTAGTAGTCATGACCTTGGAAAAACTGATCTAATGGAGCATGAAATTGACACAGGTACTAGCCAGCCTGTAAAACAGCCCCCTCGACGTACACCCCCTGGTCAAAGGGAAATAATTGATCAGCAATTGAATGAGCTTCTAGATCATGGCAGGATTGAATCATCTCAAAGTCCCTGGTCTAGTCCTGTTGTTTTGGTACGGAAACACGATGGGACATATCGAATGTGCATTGATTATCGAAAACTTAACCATTGCACGAGGAAAGATGCACTGCCATTACCTAGGACTGATGATGTGTTGGAAGCTTTGGGGGGGTCCCAATGGTTTTCATGTCTAGATATGGCCTCTGGTTACTGGCAGCTTCAGGTCAAAGAGGGAGATAGAGCAAAGACAGCCTTTTCTACTCACCGTGGCCAGTTTCAGTGGAAGGTAATGCCATTTGGGCTCACCAATGGTCCTGCCAGTTTTCAACGTTTGATGAACCTAGCCCTAGATGGACTNTTTTAAAATGCAGTCGTTTTAGATTAGGTCGAAAGCCCCCTTTTATTATTCTGATTGATTTGTCACAAAAAAAAGAAAAAACTTGACCATGCACCAAGCTCCGTAGAAACATTAACATTAACGTCAACCGAATTCTGTTATTCTATATCCATAGTACCTTGTTCATGTTCATTGGTCAAGTAATTGATCGATGAATTAAAAGTAAACACACTTTATTTCATTTGTTATCATTTATTTTTATTTTTGGTGTTCCGAGATGTTCCGGGGGTGTTCCGGCGGTGTTCCGGGGTGTTCCGGGGTGTTCCGGTGGTGTTCCGTGTTTTACAGACACCCATATAAAAATATACAGTACTGCAGTATTCTGATGATTAGCGAACGAGACTGTATGCGAGAAATGTATGCGCTACACGACCCTACACGGGTGATCTGTTTCTCGTCAGATGATAAACGTACTAATATCAACGTTAAACAAAGATCGGACTCCAAAGATCGTAGGTACAATTTTTCGTTTATTGTTTTCTATAGCATCAGATTTCAAGTATATTTCAAGGGATACGCGAAAAATATATACATATAAAGATTAATAAAATTAAACAAAAATGAAAATCCTATACGAGAATCCAACTCGAGAATCCAACTCGAGAATCCAACTCGAGAATCCAACTCGAGAATCCTAACTCGACTGGTAGTGTATCTCGGCCATCCGAACTCCAGTAGGTCACAGATAACCGAGTCATGATAATTACGTAAATATGATYTCCAAGCTGAAATCGTCAAATTAGACGGTACTGGTATCCGTGCTCCCCTGTAATTCGGAACTGAAAATTGCGATACTCGTTCATGAAGGCGTACAAAATTACATTCCTGAGTCATAATGTCATGAGAAACTTCCTTAAAGTACACATCMTTATTGTCCTGTGATATGTCCTGCGTTGATATTTCCTGTACATTGTTGGTTTGAAAAGAATTGTCCTGAAAAGAGTTGTCCTGTTTTATTTTGTTCTGAAATGAATCGTCCAGAAATGCATTATCCTGCTCAATGTTCTCAATGTTGTCCTGAATTGAAATGTCCTGCTTTATTTTGTCCTGAAATGAATTGTTCTGAAATGAATTGTCCTGTTTGTTAAATGGACCATTTAAAATAGCCAAGGCCTGTTCACAATATGGGGTTAGTCATCCAGAATTAGATGGTTTCGCGAGAGACGTCAGGAGCCCGCAACATCAGGCACGAACAAAGGACATTCTGTTGAATACTCGGAGTCGCGGAGTGCCTTTCAATCTTTTTGTTGGTGGTCCAACACTTAGCACATATGTGTTGAACCCACTTCTGAACTCCTTTTATCATTCCATAGTGATCCTTGGTATTGTGGCATCTCTACAAAAGAGAACCGCACCGCTCATTTTTACTTCGCGATATAGTTTAGGTGTTGTAGAACTCGGGGGTTGAACTTTGAATTTTCCTATCAGTGCTTGTTGTTCCATGTGCGCGAACGAGTCATTCCATGCTAGTGCCCCTCTCTCGATCTCTAATAAGACGGTGGCATGACGATACGACGAAAACACAAACTTTACAATAATACGTGCAGAAACCAAGGAAGAGGACGAACAATTATGATCACATTGACCATAACTTTTAAACTGAATGTAGGAATTTTAAAAAGATAGTATAAAAATTAGGTAAAACCTAATAGCGGAGCTCCCAAAAGAAATGCATGTTGGATAAAGATGGGATGCAAGACACATTGGTCAGATTTTTAGTACATGTTTTGTCAAGACTAATTTATTTTTCTAACAAAAAAATTCCATTGCACTACATTAAATAATTATTAAATATTTTCTCTTCAGCTTTGTTGATGCAAAGCAGTGATA